ATGGACACAGATGTTAGCTCAGGGCCAATCTTCCTCAGCATAAAAGAAGAGGATTGGCAGCAGATGTTAACTCAGGGCTAATCTTCCTCAAAAAAAAAGAAACTTTCCCTTTGGTTTTGCTGATTTCATCCATTGTTTTCTAATCTCAATTTATTTCTCCTCTTTTGAAATATCTCCTTACTTAAGGTAGAAAAATAGGTATCTGATTTGAGAACTTTCTTATTTTTAAAAATAGACAGTTACAGTTATAAATTCCCTTTAAGTATAGGTCTTGGCATTCTGTGTTTTTGTTTCTATTCATTTCAAAGTATATTCTAATTTTCATTTTGATTCCTCTAGTCCATTTGCTTTTAGAAGTGTGTTTAATTTCTTCATCTTTGTAGATTTCATAATTTTTTCTTTTGCCATTGATTTGTAATTAATTCCATTTTGATCAGAAAACATATAAAATGTGTTTTCAATCCCTCTCATTTTACTGAGACCCATTTTATGTCCTGGAATATGGGCTATCATAGATAATGTTCTGTTACTGTTGTGTAGAGCATTCTATGTATGTCTATTAGGTTTATTTTTTATAGTGTTGTTCAGGTCTTCTATTTCCTTGTTTATCTTCTTCCTTATTATTCAAGTTTTGAAAGTGGGGTTTTGAAGTCTTCAACTATTATAGGTGAATTGTCTATTTCTCCTGTTAATTCTGTCAGTTTTTGCTTAATCAATGTATGTCTGTGTGTGTGTGTTTATGTTACTTAGAGTTCTGTTATTTGGTTCATATATGTTTATAATTATTATATCTTCCCAGTGAATTGACCCTTGTATTGTGAAATATCCCTCTTTATTGTTAGTAACATTTATTTGAAACGTGTTCTCTAATACTAGTATAGCTGTTCCAGCTCTTTTATCTATTTTTATTCTTGATTGCATAATATATCTTTTTACCCTCAACCTATTTGTGTCTTTGGACCCAAATTTTGTCTCCTCTGGATAGCATATAGTAGTATTTTGTTTATAACCAATGTGGTGATCTCTGCCTTTTGTTTGGGTTACCTAGTCCATTCATATTTAATGTTATTATTGATATAATTGGTGATTTTGCTTTATGATGTGTATATTCTTGTCTCTTTTTAACTTTCTTCTTCTTTTATTGGTTAATTTTCTATTAAGTACATCTTTTCCCTTATAAAATCTTAATTCCTTTAACGATTTTAAATTACTTGTTTTGAAGTTTTTTCAGTTGCTCTAGGGATTACAGTATACATTTTAATTTATGAAAATCTACGTCAGATATATACTGACTTAATTGTAATCTAATATAGAAACTTTACTCCTATATAACTCAATTTTCTTTTTTATTCTATGACTGTTATGCATATAATATCTTGATATGTTACAAACCCAACAATATATTGTTAAAATTATTGCATTATGTAATCTTATGTCTTTCAAAGACCTGATAGAAGAAAGTAGAGAAGTATATATTTATAGAGTTTTTAATATTAACCTTCTTATTTAACCTTTTTGATTCTCTTCCTTTATACCTGTGAATTTCAGTTAGCATTCTGTGTTATTTTCTTACTCTAAACTCCAATATAGCTTTCTTCCTGTTTCTTTTATACTGTTGTTGTCAAATATATTACATTTCTGTATGTTATATACCAGTGATACAATTATTTACATATTGTGTTAGGCTTTTGCCTTTTAAATCAGTCAAGAAAGGAATAAATAAGTAATTTTGTTGTCTTTGGCTTGCTTATTTATTTATTTATATTTTATTTATTTACCTTTACATAACTTTACTGGAGCTCTTAGTATTTTCATGTGGATTTGAATTACTGTCTGATGTTACTTACCACTTACTTTCACCCTGGAAGACTTTCCTTGGTATTTATTATATGACATGTCTGCAAGCATTGAATTCTCATTTTGTTTATCTGGGAATGTTTCTTTTGAGAAGTCAGCTTTTAGTCTTATTAGGGTTTCCTTGTATGCGATGAGTCTTGCATCTCTTGCTGCTTTCAAGATCTTCTCCTTGTCTTTGATGTTCAACATTTCTACTATAATGTGTCTATATGTGAATATCTTTGTGTTTATGGTACTGGAGATTGCTAAGGTCCAAGCTTATTGAATATATTTCTTCCATTTCCTGAAGGACCTCATTACTCCTTATTTTCTTACCATGAACATTTGGCTCACTTACATTGTAGGCCCAAGCCCCGAAGGCATTTTTGAGTTTTAATAAGAGTGTGGATGAATTGAGCTTGAAACATGGTTTCAAGAAAACAGGTCCATATGATAGAAAGATAATAGATGATTTCCCTTCTCCAATATATGTTACTTCAATATTATCTTGATTAGCACTGAATTTGTGATTTCTTGAAAGAATATTGACTGTTAATCAATGATGGTGAAGCATCTCCAATATATGCTCCCATAGCACAACTTGGACCTTCTGTACTCTAATACATGCTCCCTGTAGTTGGTTGAATAATGGCTACTAAAGATTTCAAGTCCTAATCCCTGGAATTTGTAAATATTACCTTGCTTGAAAAAAAAAAGGGTCTTTGTAGATGTAATTAAGCTAAGGATTTTGAGATGAGGAGATTACCCTGGATTATCTGGTTGGTCCCTAAATACCATCGTATAAAATGAGTCCTTATATGAGAGAGACCACAAAGGAGAGACACTCCAAAGAAGAGAAGGCCATGTGATGATGTGGCCTCAAGCCATGGGATGCTGGCAACCACCAGAAGCTGGAAGCGGCAAAGAATTAATATTCCCCTGAATTTCCAGAGGGAATGAAGCTCTGCTGGCACCTTTGGCTTTGGACTTCTAGCATCCAGGACTATAAAAGAATAAATTTCTCTTGTCTTAAGCCACTCATTTTATGGTAGTTTGTTACATAAGCCACAGGAAATTATACAGCTCTCACAATGATTTGTTTGATATTTGTTTTCTGTACTAGGCTGTGAACTCCACAGAGACCTGGAGTGTCTGTCTCATACACCTTGGTAACTTCGGCAGCTAGCAGAGGGCTTTTCAATATTTGGTCTTTGTGGGGTACTTGTTGAAGGAATGAATAAATAGGCTGTGATTTCTACATCATTCCTAGTTTACTAACTGTACAAAATTACTATATTTCTGGTAATTCAGCAAAGGAACTGAGAGAAAATTATACAAATTTTATGATCAGGCGAAAAGAAGGCAAATTTTTATGGGTGTTTTTGCTGGTGGGTAGAGCTAGAATTTGGATTTCTAGCTTAGGAAAAGTAGATGTTCTCTGAGGAGTAGGGGGCAGGCCAGGGGGTTAGGGGGTGGCTTCTGAAATGGTGCTTCTCAGGCACTGTCCTCTAAGCTGCAACAATTTTCCAGGCCAGTTACTGACATGCTTCACGCAACTTCTCTGTACTCTCACTACGTATTGGTCTTGCTTCGCAAGGCAATGAGGGATTATCTGTGAGGCCCAGTATACAAGAAGAGACGCCTCGAGATATTAAAGGAGAGAAGTGAGACAGGTCTGAAATCTAATGAGGAAGCACATGCATCGTGGATAATTTGTGAGGGAGCACTTCAGATTTAACAATGGTGAAATACCTTGCTATTTGGCCTAACATACAACTCATATACATATATAGTGATTTGAATATGCTGCTTTAGACACTTCTACTTCTGAGGCCTATTATAAATCAGAAAAAAAACCAAACAAATAAAGCAATCTAAGTAAAAGCACCATGTGACTTGCTTTCTGTTTTACGGTTAGCTCAGTCTTCTGGGACTACTGTTCAAAGAGGTTTTGCCAGTTGACTCATTGATGGTGTAAAGATTTTGCTCAGATTAATCACCCTCTTGTGCTGTATACCAGTATTAATGGCTATGTCATGTCACTTCTGGTTATGCCTCAGGGTCCAAATAAGAGCATTGTGTGTGTGTGTGCGTGTGCACACGTTCACGTGTATGTTTGCATGTAGGAAACTCTTTCATGTAGGATTGAATTTCTTTCTGTCTCATTTCAAACATTTCTCATTCTCTGTTATCCATGGGAACTTTTGGCTCCTTCCTACACTTCCCACCACATGGCTTATGCCCTGCCTGAACTCTGTGCCCATGTCAAATTCTGTTTCTTCCAAGAAGTTACTTCAGCAAGAGATGACATCTTTATTCTCTGAACTCCTCTAGTACATTGCTTATATTTTTTCATGATCATCAAAGTGACAAAAGTCACCATTTATATGCCAACCATTCACTATATGCCGACCATTGTGTTACATCCATTCCATATGTTATTTCATTTAATTCTTACAATTCTGTGACGTAAACTCTATTATCTCTGTTTTCCAGTTGAGAAAACTGAAATTTGAGAAAACTGAAATTTAGAGAGGTTAAGTGACTAAGTGATTTGCAAAAAATACACAACTTCTGAGTGGAGGATCCAAAGCTCACACCTAGATAATCTGTAGATCTCACATTTTTAACTTTTAACACATACTGTCCCATACTGTAATGCTGATAGCATAGTAGATGCATTTTCCTTCCTAGATTATATGATATTTAAGGATAGAGATTCCATATTATTTCTTTTATTTCTCTAATAACCACTTCCAGTACCCAGCAACTCAATAAATATTGATTGGTTGAATGAATCAATGTCTAGAATGAAATTATTGTAATAAAAAATTACTAGGCCTTAAACTATATTTTAGAATAATTTAAGAACATTATACTGATGGCTACAAATAAGTCATTATAAAACTCTAAAATATGGCGTTTATGAATAATCATGATTAACTATGCTAAATGTCTTTATTCATGTTTATTAAAGTTCTATATGTAAATAATGTACATAATAATGAGATATTCGCTCATGATTTTTTGAAGTTTCCTATCTAGATGATTTGGTTCAGTTTATCAAAATGTTTTTGTTTAATCAACTTTATGTGTTAACTGTATGTGTTAAATATACATTTGTTTATTAATTTGTGCTTTGCTTTGTTTTGTTTTGTTTCCAGGATGGCGTAGGGGTAGATGAGAAGCTTTCTTTGCGGCGGGTAGCTGTGGTTGAAGATTTCTTTGACATTATCTATTCGATGCATGTGGAAACAGGGCCGAATGGAGAACAAATTCGGAAACACGCTGGACAAAAGAGAACTTACAAAGCAGTAAGTTAAAAAACAAAAAAAAAAACAACAAAAGAAAAAGACATGCATTTTGAAATTTGATATTATGTATGCTTGTTAAAAATGGGTTAAATAAATATTCTATCTTCAACATAAATTAGACCATATCATGGTCACACTCAACATTTAAGCTATTATTATTACTGATTCTATTTTGGTCATATGTTCACTAAGTCTATTGCATATAATTTAAAGCTGTCTCTAGCTTTCTCATTTTGTTTTCTTTAAATATACGTAAAATGTGGTAGTCCCAGTCAAATGCCCACAAATGGAAAGGTATATGTGTTATATATTCAATTTATAATGTATATTCAAGTCATAATATATGAATTACAGACTGGAACCTATGAATTTTTGTACTACCACTATTGTCTTAACATATAGACAATATTATTCCCCTTCAAATCCTATTAATATGTTCAGGTATTTCCTATTTAAAACTTATGGTCACATGGATAAGAAAATTTTATGTGCTTTTCTTATCTCACCTTAGATTAAATACATTTGTCCTGAAGATTATGCGTTTCTTAAGTTTCCAGAGTAGACTATTAAAAGATATGTGTTATTTTCATAGATCTAATGCCCTTGAACATTTTAAAATGAAAATACATAATTTGTTTATCCTAAATTATGTGGACAACAGATTTAATTAACTGTTAGATATTGAAATATATATATTGTCAAAATGGAGTTATATATTATTTTTAAAGGTTCTAATTATAGTTACAGTTTGATCTAGACACTTTGATCTAGCTTCTTATTTAATTAAAAATTTTATGAAATCATCTTACTATAGATATTTCATCCTTTCTAGGAAAACTGAACAGTAAATTATTCTTTTCCAATATGAACAAAATGTACATCAGAAGTACTTTATCAGAAATCAGAATAATGTCCTTTTTAAAAATTCTTATTGAACTTTGCTTTTGGCTACCTTTATATTAACTGTTTTCAGCTGTATTGATACACAATATCAGTCTGGATCCATTTTTTTTTCAGATACAGAAAAATGTGTGAAATGCTCAAAGTTTCAAATACAGGTACATATGTTTGAAAATTAGCTACTGAGCATAAGAAATAGCTTCTTTTCCATAACTATTTTTTGCTATATATCCAGGGTCATATTGAATCTTTGTAGTTGCATAATAACCCCTAATACATGTTGTATTTATCTCTCCTTCTCTATGGTTTTGTTTCTTGGCTGTTTCTAAATTGCATGGTTTGTGGGCAGGCACTATTGTAAGTTTCCTTACATAATTCTGCCACATAAACTTTCTTTTGACTTACATATCCTAGGAGACATTCTTATCATGACTAATGACAATGACCTAGCTTTCTAAGATATTTTTATGTAGACTAATGTTAATGAACATACTCATTCTGCCTGTCTCCTAAGCCAGGGCTGTATCTCTTGGTATTAATAGGAAAAAAATTCTATATTGATCTACTAATATCACTAACTGTGTGCTCTGATGATAATTCATTTTCATGAAATAGCTACCTGAACTTGAGAGGACTTTGTAAGGTAGGAATATGTAAGCTCAGTTGTATTAAATGAAAACGAACAAACAAAAAGCAGGTGGCTTCATTGTTAGTAATAGTGTGGCAGCCAAATCTGTTTAGGTGCCAAAAGCAATTTAAAAATGATTTAATCTTTGAAATGCACTTATTAGAGACCTTTAGTTAAAATGGAAACATGACATAGACCCAAATCTCTCACCCTGTTTTCTTAAATGAAATATAGAGAATCTGATCCATTTCCATTATGCATGTTAAACACTTCAAATAAATTGGTGAACATGTTTCCAACATATGTCATTTTGCTCTAACATTGTGAAGACATTTTCTGCATTTTGGGGTAGGATATCAACTTTGAACATATAAGCAGCATCTGAAACATCATTCATTCCCTCTTGAAAATGTCCTATTTGAAGATCCTTCTCTCTCTCAAGTTTACTTTTTATTTCCACATCTAAAGTGTTCTCACCTTTTCTTAATATCATGAAGGTTCTTTTTAGCCTAACGTTTCACCTTCTGGTATCTCTCAGGTGAATCCTAATTAGGAAACATATCCATTTTATGGAGTAATAATACATCATAGAAAAAAATGGACTTGCTGCAATGTCAGCAAAATTGTGAACATGACTTTACAATGAATTTAAGTCTAAGATTAAAAATTAATATAAATGTTCAATTAATGGGGCATAAGACTAAATTCAATTTGAAATGCAATGGTTTAGTGCTGTTAGGGCCCTAGACTTTGGGTCAGAGTTTAGCTCTCAATGCTACTGCTGGAATGGGCTTGTCATTGGTAGAATTAGCTAGATACCTATTCCAATTATAATGGTTCCCATTAAGTTTTAGATATTTTTCTACTTCTAACACATTAGCTCATAGAGCATGCATGATTATGTTTATTGACCTTCTTTTTCTCCCCTTCCTACATGGCCAAGAAACCATACTTATACAACTAATCATTAAAGCGTCTCATATCGTCTTAATAATATTATCAATAGATTTAGTGGTCATTTTATTTACTTTGCCTTTTTTGCAAATCGTTCTATGTTTTCACTCTGCAGGAAATGGTGGTCCTTTAATATTGGATTAACTTTTGAATGCTACTTGTTTTTACCTATCTGCAGTATATCATTCCTTGAAATATCTAGGCATTATACAACTTAAATTTTATTGCAATCTGGTCTAACTATAGATAAAATTGGAGGGCGTATATTCTATTACTCATGAGTTCTTCAAAAGATCCACATAAAATGACACATTTTAGGAATATGTAAAGGCTATCATAATTACTATTTTCAGTTATTGTTGACTCCTAGTGTCTTTTAGGTCTTGTCTTTTATCTGCAATTATCTCTGTCTATAGTATTAACTGTTACTAGTGCATTCAATGTGTTTCCTTCAATGTATTTTGACTATAGTAAACTCCTCATTATCTACATTAACAGAATGGAGAAGAGGTATGCATCATTCAATTATCAATTATATTTGAACTTAAAATATATTTTTGTACTGAGAATTGAATGCAGGTGTGCTTAGCAATTTGGAAAGTCACTTCAAAATTAGTGATGTAACATTATAAAAAGCTAAAGAGGATGTTGTCTTGTCTCCAATCCTTGACTCATCTCCACTTCTGCCTGAATTCCACCTTCAGGGAGTGCATCATCTTCTCTGGTTGTCTTTTTCCCCTTATGTTCTGTCAGAGGCTAAGCACAGCTGCCTTTTCAGAAACGTTTCTTAAATCAGAGTCTGGTTAAAGGATTAAGTTTCAAAATCCTTTCCTTCTACATGTAAAATTAGAGTAACTGGTGGAAATCCAGGAACTAAGAGGGAAAGTCAGTGTTTTCAACAGAGAGAATGATCTGCATATATATGTGTATATGTACACACACACACACACACAACTTGTAGTGTGATACAGTAAACTTACATGTATTACTCACATACATAGCTGCCAATAATTATATTCATTTAATTCAGCGTGGAGAGCATATGCTATAGCTAAAAGAAAATAGGCTAGAAGCCAGACAAACTCAGTTTCAAATTTCAAATATAACTCTTCCTATCTATGTCACTTTTGGCAGGTTACTTACTTTTTTTCTTTTCCTGTTTAGAGGGAGATAATGGTATACATGGTGTGGTAAAATAAATGAGTTAAGATGCGTAAAGTGATTGGCATATGGTGAACTTTTGAATAATGTTTTTTCTCTTTCTTTGTTCAATCACTGCTCATGTTCTAGGTAGAAAGACAAGCCAGACAACGAACATAGCTCTGTCATTACCCTCAATGTAATTATGGGTGTAATTTCCTCTGCCTGTCCGGATGCCTCCATGTTGGGAGATAGGAATAGTAATAACTCATGCCTTGTTTCATGTGCATCCGGTGGATGTCGCTATTCCAGAAAGTCCACACACAGTGTAACTTTTATCCAAAGTTTGACTAGGCTGAAGGAAGACATAAAAAGGCCAGAGTTCTTGTGTTTTGGATCTCTCCTGCCAGATGAAGTTTATGAGAATTTCAGTTATTTCATATGCTTTCCCCAAAGCTTAAGTCTGTTAACTTAATTTCAAATTAATTATCAGAAAAATTTAAATATTGACTTTCTTTGAAGAATTTGCTTTCAGTATGAATTGAATAGTCCTTTCCAGGGACATACTGTAGAAACATAACATATCATGCAGAACTTCTATGTTCCTACTCTGAAAATTAGAAAGGAAAATCTTTATTCTATCAGATCTGGGACATTTAACCTTAAAACTTTAGTTAGCATCATTTTTGTCCTGTTCTTTTTATAAATACTTACTGGTTCAGCATCTCTATCTCTAAATAGGATATTTTAACTTACACCAGTTTCTGCTAGTTTGTTATGTAAAAATTCCCAGAATTCTTGTCAACTTATGATGAGACTAATGAGCAAAATTTGTAGCCATGTGGTGTGAAAAAATAGCACTAAACTAAAATTCAAGCGTTCCAAACAATTCATTTAACCTCTTTTTTGACTTAGGTCACAGTTTACTCACGTATAAAATCAAGGGGCTGTATTTTAGTTTTCATCAGACTCTGAAGGAGTAACACCAGTGATAATGGTGTGTACGGGGCCATTACCGTGCTAAGGGACACGATAAAGATGGTAACCAAAGTGAGTAAATTGGTTGGCAACAGAAATGTTCAAACATAGGGAATGCATCCTGCTCTTATAAAAGCAGATTGGCTGATAAGCATAGCCTAGAGGTAGAACAATTTGGCTGCATTATTATCTAGAGAGTTCTCCTGTAAATGATGATGATGATAAGAACAATAGTGAAAAGGATCTGTAGCCATTGGATTTCATATTTCTAGGATTTTAAAATAGCAATCAAAGAAGAAAGGGCATAAAACTGACTCTCAAGTGCCAGCATGTTTTTGCTGCTCTTCATTTTTGTTAAAAATTTTGCAGTAATCTAAACCATGTTATGAATGGGCAGCTC